TTCCACGTCATCTCTGTCTTCGCGTCTTTACCTCGCGAAAACGACCTTCTTCGCGAGGCATAACCACGGAACTTTCTCCTAATTGTTTGATAGCCACCGTTCCGCTACGCCCCTCCATAATCGTTAATATAATAATCATATAATTTAACGAACGCCATAGATGTAGCTCTCCGATGTAATTGGTGACTGAAATTTTTAGAAACATCGTGCCTTCTTGCTCAAGCGCCAGAAAATCGTCTGTCGACAGTCGAAAGATATCGCCAGGCAATCTAGGTACGTACATGCGTTTCTCTGCGGATTTTCCGCCAACAACGTATGCGGACTGACTGCGAACACGTGTCTACGGGCAATTGTCTGTCAATCTGGACTAAGCTTAATTCCGTTACTCTCTTGCACGTAACAAATTACTATCGAGCGGAGACGGTCGAAGATTAACTGCGTCGAATTAAAGATTACACGCACGTTCGAACGATAGCCGACGTTTTCTGTGCGACTCCAGGGCTACACGGTGCTTAATGAATTACGAATAACGGACAGTCAGAAGCATCGAAATCGCGGAAATTTCGTTGGAGTCGAGGGCGGCGCAGGTGCACGCGTAAGTTACAAAAACTTCGTTAGGGAGGAATGCAAACAATGCCCGATCCGAGCTGTTCGGCTCTTTCCTCTGCGTTTTTTTTGCTCCTTTCCCGCTACGCTCCAGGCTTTGCACGCGTAAGTATCGTTTCCCTCGTGAAAATTCGCGCCAATTCAAAGCACCCCGTCGTCCCCTTCGCTCGACGGCCGTCATTGACAACTAGTCGGAGTTCAACGTTTCTTTCCTACGAGTTAGCGAACCCTGTAGCATACCGCCGCCAATTACACCCTCGTAAATCGGACCGCCGATTTGTCAGTCGTTCGCAATCCGTCCTTCTGAATTTCTGATCGCACCTTAGTGCGTCGCTCTAACCTATATTCGGTACTTAATTCCGCTCGTAATTTCGGCGCGATGAAGAAGGGCTTCCGACCGCAAAAATATCGATGATTAACGAATAGCCTGGAAACCGGATCGTAACTTTTCCACTTCTATTTCTCTGTTTTAATATCTATTACGTACGATTTCCATACGATTCTCTGAATAAAAATAAAAAGATATTCCTTCTTATCACATCCTATGTCATACGTATCCCTGTTTATAAACTTTTATGTAACTTTTTTGTAAAATCTAGCAATAAGGATATTAATTATTTTCATTAAATATATACCACTAAAACTTCTATGTAAAGCATTAAAACGTAAAAACTAGGAGCATCGTTCTCGTCCGTACGAGACTACTTGTTTCGATTCAACGATATTATCCCTCGACGCTATACTCGAAAAAATTAAATAAAGAACGTTATATTTCCGATCGAATTCACCACTGAGAATCTTTCTGTCGCCGGCAAAATACCACCGAACAGCGGTAACATCTGGCGATCTGTTAATGTAGAGGTCGACTAGACCAACAGTGCAGCCAAGGCGGGGGCTGAGTTGACGAGCAAAGCAAATAAACAGGAATTAAATCTGGAAGGCTTTATCGTAGGAAAATGCTCCGAGATTTCTCGTGGAAAAAATATATATCGCGTACAATATAAAATAATATAATATGTAACGTAAAAAGTGAAACGGTGAGTCACCGTTGGCGATGAATTGTCGGACACGTGAAAAGCCCATTAAACCTTACGAAGAACCCATCGAAACAACGATGAGAGCGATTCGGAATAAAGATTAGCTGTAGTAGCTTAATTACACGATTGTATATCTGCGAAGAATATTTCTAGACAAGAAACAAGGTATGACTACAGCTAAATTCAGCACCGTTCAGGCTCGTTCACGAGAAGATAAATAAAGGTCATTGTAATTGAACGTTTTGAAATAAAAAAATTTAAGTTAAATCTAGAATGAAAAATGACTCAAACGATACAGATTCGATGATTCATAGATTCGATGGAAAATACTATTCATTATATTTATGACTAACAATAAGGATCGGTAAACAGTATTTTTTATATACATAGATATGTCGTTCGATGTAAAGAAAATCTATATTAGATTTAAGATCGTGTAGATGTAATACTATTTTAACTCGTCAAATATGTCGTTGTTTTTAGTAAGTCTATTTCACATACATACATATAAGATACAGTTCCATCGACTATACGAAACACGCACATACACGTACATCTTTTCTCTCATTTATAACGCAAATTAAAGCGGAAATTGCGCGTAAAGAACGAAACGCACAACATTGCCATTACATCAATAACGACGTGTGTCCTCGTTTTATATGCCCCGAGGTAGATCGATGTAATATGAAAATTGGGTGCAATCCGAATAATAAATAATAATTTTCCATTTAGCAAATGAAAAGAACAATTTGAAGCGTGTCGCGTGGAAAATCAGCGCGTCTCTTATTCCAGCCAACATGGAATTTGGATCTACGATTCCGTATTTTCATCTCTAATTTCCAGCAAAATTTAATCTGGTTCTGGTGACACACGACGGAAACTTTCGGAAAGATGAGCCCAGATTGTAAGTCATACATGAAGCAAGTTTGTGTAAAACAAACGCGGCCGTTAAGATTAAGTTTGCCAGGAACAATGATTTTCGACGTAGTCAAATAGCTGGAACAATTCGTCAAATAAGTCTGCCGCTATAAGTCGTGCACGCTACAACAGAATCCGTGAGAAGTATCGCGATAACGGCCGGAAGTGGGATACCAAATACTTTCTTTCGGGGTTTCGTGCGAGCGTGAACAAGCGCGTGCGCACGTGCAACGATCGCTTCCGTAGTAAGCATAGGCTAAGTATAGCCGGTTAGCCACGGGCATTGTTATTGCTTGCACAGCGGGAGCGTTCGCTCGCGATCCCTGTTTATGAAGGGTCCGCGCTGCTTGCCCGAGTTATGGTCTCAGGTGCGTCCGAATATTACAACTTGGATCGGTCAATCAACAAATGACCAACATCCTAAATATAGGTCGGACGTTTATTCAAAACGCGTATATAGAATTGTAAGAAATTCCGAACTCGATTAATCCTTCCGTTTATAGGGTACGAACGTTTATATCCATCGAATAAAACATCCTCGTAAATAGGTAAACGTAAACAGGTATCGTCAGCCATTGCTGGAAGAATATCTAAAACAACCTATTATCTTTACGTATACCTTATTTATAACGACAAACATCGTTATACCTGTTAAAAAGCTAAAAGATTTAATCACCTTGCGTTAGATTTAATCAACGACGTCAATCCCTTGTATTTTCGAACAGCTCGAGTTTCACGAATAAACTACAGCGAAGTATCTTCCCCCGACGGAACAGCATAAAAATGTCAAAAATTTCGAAACGGTCCACGTCGATGGACACTCACCGGAACGCTCGAAGCAATTGAAGAGAATTTTTTTTCGTGTTTGGTCAGCCCTGTGAGCGTGTGCTCGGACGTATGCCCGTAGCGACGCAAAAATGCGTCCGTATATACCCGTATATGCGTCTGCTGCCTCTTCATAAAGTCATAACTCAGCCAAGCCCCCGGCACATCTCTCGGCATAACATTTAAAACGATTTCCGCTGGCAGCAGTGCCAAGACCGGAGCTGCGTTGTTTCGGGGATAGATTAACGAAACATAACGCCAGTACTCGCTACGGACTTCCAAGGGGTAGCTTGGATAATGGGAAGGGGCGTGTTGGCACTGCTCTGGCAGTTAAGCAGTGTTCAGTGCCGGTACTCGTAGTCTTCAGCCCCTACGGTTACGATCGATGGAAATTTTTAAGAGAGCTATAGTCTATTTGCTTCGAAAATATGCAACAAGGTAGATGATTTCATTCGAGGTTAGGTTTGTCAGTGAGATTTGCCAGTGAGATTTGTCACACGTAAACCGGCCAGTGATATCGATTAAAAGCCACATATGCCGATAAAGTAAGACTTTAATTAGCAGTCGCGAGGATTAAACGGTACGAAATTCATATAAAACTGGAATAAGAATCCGATGCTTGGTGACATTTCGATAAACCACAGAGACAATCGTTCCCCTCTTATGGGTTATTTATACTGTTGATCGTTTTCAAGTTGTAGAAGGTTTCTTCGCGCCGAAAGAACGAGTCAACGGATTGATTCGATAGAATTCTTGTGCGATCGCTGTTTCTCACGGATCGCTGCTTGCGGGGGAGTCCCGACATTCAAAGTAACGCGTACGTACGTATATACACGTTGGCACATAATATCGTTATACGCAGCATGAAAGGCAGACGCGACTAGTTACGCGTTTTCTGGGACTAACCGTGAAAAGAGGAACGCAAAATTCTCATATTTGTCGGGGATACGAATGCGTATAGCCAGCCCTGGCATTTGTAGAAGGCGCACGGAAAGTCTGATGATACATCGTGGATTCTGCGAGTTGCGCCCTCTGGTCCCCCGCTCTCCTTTCGACTCTTACCATCGGCCCTCCATTCCCTTCCTAACTACCCTTTCGGCGTTAAGAGATTAACTTGTCACGCCGGGCCATTTTAATATTCCGGATCGCGGGGTGAATCGCTGGAATTTGCCTGGAAAACGGCATACGGCTCCGCCAGCGATAAGTATCTGTTAACGTCACTGCAGCTTTGCCCGCCCCCTTTTTTTCTGCGTGAAACTGTACCGAATAAAAATTACGGCAGTTCATTTTCGCGCGCGTTCGATGGCTATTCGATGAAGCGTCGCAAGAAACCGAGACAGACAATTTTTTATTTTCCAAGTTCACCGTTGTTTCGAACGGTCAAAACGGCCTTTAGTTTACAAACGAATTTCACGATCAATTTTTACCGAGCAACTTTCATACATATGTTCGCGAGTATGCGAGTATTTCGAGAAACGCGGACACTCGTAAGGAAACATTTAGATAAGGCAATCACGGGTTGACGTAACCCACGTACCATACAGTAAGTCGGTTCACCGGTACGCGAGAAAACCGAAAGGAGGTAAATTGTGTTCTAAATGTGTAAATACTTACCCCTGGTAAAGTCCGCTTCTCATGCAGAGCGTTCTGGGCACTGATTGCGCTGTCACGACTATAGTAGGTGAGAAATGCACAGCCTGAAACAGAGTAGAAAACAGCAACAGTTAATCAAAACTGGGACAAGATTTTACCAGATTGCTGGGAAATAAATGGTCGATAATTATTCGCATTCTTAAATCGTTATAATTCGTATACACTTTATTTCTCATCACTTTTTAAATTAAAAGCATCAACCGTAATTTACGCAATGATGCGCTAGTCGATCGTTTCTTTCCCACCTTACTATTCACAGTAATTTTCGTTCAATTCGTTAATTTCTCTTCAAAGGCCGAGAATCGAAACAAAAAGTAAGCGTGCACGGGAAACGTTCGTGTGAATTCCAGTAAGAAACGCAGATGGAAAAATATCGTAACGTTAATCGCAATCGCGGCGAACAAGAATTACGTATTTACAAGTTCTGTGGGAAATGAAATCTATATGGCAGGTTTATCTGGAAGGTGATAAAGTGCACCCTTGGCGTCAACCTTTCGCATGCGTTCACCATCCGCCCAACATTTACGTGACGCGAGTCAATGCGTCACAGTAATTAGATATAAGCGATTGAAACTTTTCGCTGCATAATTACTGGCGCGGCCACATTAAGAAAACTTCTGCGTTATAATTTTTTCAACGCGTCGTAGGCAACGTGCGACAAGGAAAGGGGTGGCAGGGCGTCACAGAAACGTTCGCCGGAAATGTCCGTACATCACGCAGTTGCGGAGTCGACTGAATTCTTCGAACTTTTTGGTTCGTCGTACAGGAATGAACGTGACGTTTCCATGGGGAAACTTGTTGGATAACCCTCCCGAAGATCGTTTCCTGCTAAATTCGCGAACAACGTTTCACACACGACGGTTGTCGAATCTTGACGACGATCTATCAAGAATCAAAACGCATTATCGATCGATAATCCTGATATTATATTAGTTAGGTCGACTGTTATATTATGCTGACGTATCGCTCATCTGTCTTTTCGTAATGCTATCAACATTGTTACGTAAGAATCCCCGTGTAGTAACACGAACTGCCCTCTACACTCGAGCAAATTTCTCGCTAGCGAGAACAAGTTGTTGCCTCACAATTGTGATATAAATAATAGCGTTATAAAGGCGTGATAAGTAACTTTAAGATATATATGACACAATATAACGGGATTTTCCGATCGGATGAGGTTAACGAATCGATTAGAAAAAAATTCGAATTCGTCGAAAAGGACAACGCGTTTTAATCGAATCGTTTATTCGCGCACCGTCTTGGAAATCTCCCGGAGCAGCGGAAGTATCATCGGCATTCTCGCCGTCGTAAAATTAATTTTCCAAAACGACTCGAACCAGTTTAAGAACCGACGCCGGTATAGCGGGTTAAAACGATGGTAATTAACCCTAGAATTGGACGGTGGCTGAACCAGACCATTATCGGCTATCGCACTGTCGAGCAAACCTCCTAGAACCGCCTTCCTATCGGTCTGAGGATTTATTCAAAGGGCCTGTTCGCCCTATCTGATCGCCATTTGACTATCTCAACACACCGAGATGGATGTAAGCAAGCACGCGCGCTGCGAGACTCGTGGACAGAACTCGGTCTAAGATCACTTACTATTTACGACACGACATTATCGTGACTGCCCGATAGCCTTGATCTGTCTATAATCACGACTGCCACGGATACGGAATCCATTAACTATTCGTTTTACAGATAATCAGGATAGCTTCGCATACATAGAAACATGCATCCCTTCGTCGTTGGATTCCGACTGGATTTCTCCGAAACTTCTCCACCGTTCTTTTCATTTTACGCTTCGATGGACTTTGCGATTAATTTTGTGAAAGGAACAATAAATCAATTCTGGAACATATTGTCGAAGTAGATATTTATGTGCGGTCCCTCACAGTACATCTACCAAAAAGGCATCAACGCCTTCGCCACACTCCGTGGTCAGATCCTTACTTATTTCCAAGCAAAACTGCACATATGTGAAAATTTCATGCATCACGTGTAAACGATCTTACGTGTCATAAACACGAGATTCGTACAAACCAGGAGCTATATAGGCAAAACATGAAAACTGCTAAAAAATAAAGTGCACTCATAAATAGCAACATCTGTAGATTTTACAACTTTATCGTGACGCTCTTGTTTCCTAACAATCAAAATTTCATACTTTTGGGCAAGAACTAAAAATGATTTCGTTCGCACTCATGCCACAAGAAACAATAAAACGTAATAGAGAAATTAATTATTCCTTCGTTCCTGGTCTATTCTTTAAATGAAATATTGAATATTGAATAAATAGATGGCAATTAAATATGCAAAAATCTACCCGCAGCACCGATTTCGATGATTTTTTAACATGTTGCGAATCTCAACATTTTGAACAATTTTTGCCTATACGTATAACCGTCGGCCGACCGTAGCTTCCAGGATATCTGCGGAAGAACTGTCCGCAGTGTCGGTATCTTTTATAGGTTTGGATTAGATGTTGTCATTTTGTTCTCGTGGAACGGCCAACAACCAACCAACGCTAACGCATACGTCGTCGCGGATGCACAATTATAGGCAGAATTCACTACTGTGATACCGGACACGTGCAGTGGACAGTCGCAGCGAATATATAACTGCGACGGAAACTAAGGCCGTCCGACAGTTATGTGCGTAGGTAAAAGCTGTTCAAAACGTTGAATTTTATAACATATTGAAAAATCACAGGAATCGCCATTCGAAATAAATTTCTAAATAATTATCTAAAAAGATTATGCAAGATTATATCTCGAAAGGGTAAATATCACATTTATATCGGTATGTGAATGTTTCAACGATTTAGCTGTACCGATACTGTTGTAATAACTCAAGGTAAATTATAGCTATTCAGATATTAAGTTAAAGTACCGTGACTCTATTTCACGTTCACTCAAGTAACATTCTCTGCAGATCGGTATTGCAAGTTGTGCTTTCGACGGTATACCTTCGTGTCATAAAATCTCTTCTACCGACAGATTTATCAGCGTTGTTTCGTAACAAACAAACAAGCCTGCTGGCAGTTTGTGCACGATTGCTCGTCACATCGTTCGAGCATGCAAAATTCAAATCGGTCGTCGGTGTTGTCGTTTCACCGAGCCGTGCCGCGAAGCTCGAGACGTTTTAATCTCACGGAGACTCGGAGGATGCAATTTCGTCGCGATAGCAGGTGGAGTCGCTGCGGCAACAGTTTCTTAGCGGGGAATTACGTCGTCGCGTCGCGTCGCTTTGGAAACGAGAGCAACAGTGAGAGGCATACACAGAGCGGGAAAGAGAAGGCGGGAAATACCGTGAAAGTAAGGAAAAATGACGCAATAAGAAAGACGAAGGTGTACAGTTGCCACGGTGCTGTAATTTTTCATGTAACGCGACACGTTGTACGCGCATCGAGATCCCCCTTAGTTATCCGAAGGTGTTGCGAAACGGTGGTATTCGCGCGTAGGGCGTCTAACCTAGCCCGCATAAAAGCTCCGGCGAAGGGTGGAACGGAAAAGGGGAAACGCGTTAAAGAAGAACGAAACTGGTCGTCGTGTTGGCGATGAATCCGAAAGTTTGCAAGGGGTCGTCGCCGGCGGTGGTCACGCCAAGTATTCGCTGTCAGATATACGCTAGCCCGACTTCACCATCCCTTACCCCTGCTGCCCCGTATCGTCCTGGCAAATGGGAATAGACCGAAATATTTATAAACATCGCCGGTGCTTATCTTAATTGCATTGGGACAGGTTGCATGACACTCTTATTCTCCGCGGCTAATATCCACCGGGAATAGAAAAGTTCGTGAGCCATACGCCCTGCGGGGCTTCAAGGCGAATTAGCTTCCGTGGCGTATCAAGAACAAGGGCGACCTTTCTTCCTACCTCTCGCGCGCGCTTTCCTGAGCTTCCGCCCCGTCTTCCGTCCGAATTAAATCTATAGATAACGCCTACAGCCATACACGAATTGCCAGACTGCGAGACAGAAGCTAAATCTACTTTTCCGAAATTTGCATTTACTGGATATTTGCTTTCTCTCGCGAGGTACATCATTTCGCGGCCAGTTTCATCCGAATGGTAATTAGATTCGATGCTGATGTTCGCCAGCTAATTTCCAATTTCCAATCCGTGACAACAAAGAGAAAAAAATCGGCCCCGTTTCGATGACACACTTTATATTCGCTTAATTTTCATATCGCAGTGTATTCGTCTATTTGGCACTACTTTTTTGGCTTCCTTCAAATACATTTGGATTCGAAAGCCCGGTATGCAAGTGCCAACTTCCATCCTTGCCAACGTTGTTCCTACGAGCATACCGAAGAATCAGGTTGAAACGCAAACTGTATTGCTTAGTTCTTCCAAGTTCCGTTACGAATACATCGGATCATTGCAAAAACAATAGACAATACGTACTCGTTGTTCGAGACGACCATTAAATAGCCATTCGAGATGTCGATACGTTTCTTTCATTAAGGTTTAAACAATTAGTTCGATTAGATTTAAACGAGAGATTCGTTCCCTCTCGACAGACGCATTTCACAGATTCGTCTTTATTTTTGCGCTCGATTCTATTTTATTTATATTCGTGAGTGGAGAAACGAAGCGTAGAACGTTGCGTGCTGCTTGAATTTCGTGCACGATTCTTTTTTTTATTCACGCACGTTCAAACGTCCCCAAGAAATTCATCGAGGAAATTACTCGATTGGTTCGGATCGCAATTGCTTTCTGAATTTCTGAAGCCTCTGGGCAATGCTTATCGCTGGAAAAGATCGTCCTATCGATCACAATGATCCCCAGTTTCGATATTCGCGACGAAAAAAAGATCGAGAAATCGTCGTGCTAATTTCAGTTCATTTAGTCTCCGTTCTTCTTATCTCGTCGCGCTACTATTTCGAAAATTTATAATATTCTCCTGGAATTATTTAAGCGCCAGACAGGAAGAAGAATGCTAGGTATAGCACAACGAGACGTTTAAACGAAGAGAATAAGACAAGAGAAAACGAGAACTAGAACGAGAATATGAAAGGCACGTGTTATCTTCCAAGATGTCA